AAACACAAGCCGAAATTCGGTCGGTCTCTACACCCACGGAGGTCTACTGTTTAACTGTCTGTAAATACTCTCCAAGAATAATGCTAAGAAATGGCACTCAATAATCTCTAACTGTTCAGCTTCCATTTCTACAGGACATTTACACCTCTATGATAGTATTTGTACACATGATGTTAGCTAAAACAAAGATATATTCAAACAATTGTGAAGGCGATATTCATTTCAACCAACTTAGCGATTGAACTAACCAATTTTTTTTGGGGGGTAATTAAACTAGTCTGATAACGGCAGCCACCCCCCTCTTTTTCCGCCACTGTACACAAGACATCCTTGTAAAGTCACATTGATGGAGCCGCCCTAGCTGATTACTGATATTGCAGCATCCAATCCGTGATTCTTGTCGGCAGGTAGGATAAGAACAGGTAGATGACACAGTCGATTCCCACCGAATACCTGGTCTTGGGGAATCTGGACGTCAGCGCATGCGTGTAGGCGTCCGTGACGCGGTACGTCTTCGTGGAGCTTCCGTCGGCTAACTTTTTGAGGAGGTCTCGAACTGCAGGCGGAAACCATCATAAACAAGAGACAATGGTTAGAACCAACAGCTGGTAGGAGGTAATGGTTAAAAAAAACAGCAAATGGTAGGAGGCAATGGTTACAAACAGCAACTGGTAGGAGGCAATGGTTACAAACAGCAACTGTTGGAGGCAATGGTTACAAACAGCAACTGGTAGGAGGCAATGGTTACAAACAGCAACTGGTAGGAGGCAATGGTTACAAACAGCAACTGGTAGGAGGCAATGGTTACAAACAGCAACTGGTAGAAGGCAATGGTTACAAACAGCAACTGGTAGTAGGCAATGGTTACAAACAGCAACTGGCAGGAGGCAATGGTTACAAATAGCAACTGGTAGGAGGCGATGGTTACAAACAGCAACTGGTAGGAGGCAATGGTTACAAACAGCAACTGGTAGGAGGCAATGGTTACAAACAGCAACTGGTAGGAGGCGATGGTTACAAACAGCAACTGGTAGGAGGCAATGGTTACAAACAGCAACTGGTAGGAGGCAATGGTTACAAACAGCAAATGGTAGGAGGCAATGGTTACAAACAGCAAATGGTAGGAGGCAATGGTTACAAACAGCAACTGGTAGGAGGCAATGGTTACAAACAGCAACTGGTAGGAGGCAATGGTTACAAACAGCAAATGGTAGGAGGCAATGGTTACAAACAGCAAATGGTAGGAGGCAATGGTTACAAACAGCAAATGGTAGGAGGCAATGGTTACAAACAGCAACTGGTAGGAGGCAATGGTTACAAACAGCAACTGGTAGGAGGCAATGGTTACAAACAGCAACTGGTAGTAGGCAATGGTTACAAACAGCAAATGGTAGGAGGCAATGGTTACAAACAGCAACTGGTAGGAGGCAATGGTTACAAACAGCAAATGGTAGGAGGCAATGGTTACAAACAGCAAATGGTAGGAGGCAATGGTTACAAACAGCAACGTGTAGGAGGCAATGGTTACAAACAGCAAATGGTAGGAGGCAATGGTTACAAACAGCAAATGGTAGGAGGTAATGGTTACAAACAGCAAATGGTAGGAGGCAATGGTTGCAAACAGCAACTGGTAGGAGGCAATGGTTACAAACAGCAACTGGTAGGAGGCAATGGTTACAAACAGCAAATGGTAGGAGGCAATGGTTACAAACAGCAAATGGTAGGAGGCAATGGTTACAAACAGCAAATGGTAGGAGGCAATGGTTACAAATAGCAAATAGTATATATCGACAACGTTTAAATTTAATATTATAATGTTCGTACTTTATTCCACTGCAGACTGCAAATCATCTCCAGCTTAAAAAAGTTATTTATTTTTTAAATTATCATTTTCGGTGGAAATATCTTTTATTGCTTGTACAGTTTATGTACGTCACTCCCGTCAACTATAAAACAAATTTGCTCACCCGATGTGAGCCTACAACTGTTGTAGCTTTGTTGATGCGCAATCGTAGTTTTTGTTGATGTGCAATCGTAGTTTTTGTTGATGTGCAATCGTATTTTTTTTATGTGCAATCGTAGTTTTTGTTGATGTGCAATCGTAGTTTTTGTTGATGTGCAATCGTAGTTTTTGTTGATGTGCAATCGTAGTTTTTGTTGATGTGCAATCGAAGTTTTTGTTGATGTGCAATCGTAGTTTTTGTTGATGAGCAATCGTAGTTTTTGTTGATGTGCACACGTAGTTTTTGTTGATGTGCAATCGTTTTTTTTTTGATGTGCAATCGTAGTTTTTGTTGATGTGCAAACGTAGTTTTTGTTGATGTGCAATCGTAGTTTTTGTTGATGTGCACTCGTAGTTTTTGTTGATGTGCAATCGTAGTTTTTGTTGATTTGCAAACGTAGTTTTTGTTGATGAGCAATCGTATTTTTTGTTGATGTGCAATCGTATTTCTTGTTGATGTGCAATCGTAGTTTTTGTTGATGTTCAATCGTATTTTTTGTAGATGAGCACTCGTAGTTTTTGTTGATGTGCACTTGTATTTTTTGTTGATGTGCACTCGTAGTTTTTGTTGATGTGCAGTCGTATTTTTTGTTGATGTGCAGTCGTAGTTTTTGTTGATGTGCAATCGTATTTTTTGTTGATGTGCAATCGTAGTTTTTGTTGATGTGCACTCGTATTTTTTGTTGATGTGCACTCGTAGTTTTTGTTGATGTGCACTCGTATTTTTTGTTGATGTGCACGCGTAGTTTTTTTTGATGTGCAATCGTAGATTTGTTGATGTACAATCGTAGTTTTTGTTTATGTGCAAACGTAGTTTTTGTTGATGTGCAATCGTAGTTTTTGTTGATGTGCACTCGTAGTTTTTGTTGATGTGCACTCGTAGTTTTTGTTGATGTGCAATCGTAGTTTTTGTTGATGTGCAATCGTAGTTTTTGTTGATGTGCAATCGTATTTTTGTTGGTGTGCAATCGTAGTTTTTGTTGATGTGCAATCGTAGTTTTGGTTGATGTGCAATCGTATTTTTTGTTGATGTTGCAATCGTAGGTTTTGTTGATGTGCAATCATATTTTTTTGTTGATGTGCACACGTAGTTTTTGTTGATGTGCAATCGTAGTTTTTGTTGATGTGCACACGTAGTTTTTGTTGATGTGCAATCGTAGTTTTTGTTGATGTGCAATCGTAGTTTTTGTTGATGTGCAATCGTATTTTTTGTTGGTGTGCAATCGTAGTTTTTGTTGATGTGCAATCGTAGTTTTGGTTTATGTGCAATCGTATTTTTTGTTGATGTTGCAATCGTAGGTTTTGTTGATGTGCAATCGTAGTTTTTGTTGATGTGCACTCGTAGTTTTTGTTGATGTGCAATCGTAGTTTTTGTTGATGTGCACACGTAGTTTTTGTTGATGTGCAATTGTAGTTTTTGTTGATGTGCAATTGTAGTTTTTGTTGATGTGCAAACGTAGTTTTTGTTGATGTGCAATCGTATTTTTTGTTGATGTGCACACGTAGTTTTTGTTGATGTGCAATCGTAGTTTTTGTTGATGTGCAATCGTAGTTTTTGTTGATGTGCAATCGTATTTTTTGTTGATGTGTACTCGTAGTTTTTGTTGACGTGCAATCGTAGTTTTTGTTGATGTGCAAACGTAGTTTTTGTTGATGTGCAATCGTATATTTTGTTGATGTGCACTCGTAGTTTTTGTTGATGTGCAATCGTAGTTTTTGTTGATGTGCAATCGTATTTTTTGTTGATGTGCAATTGTATTTTTTGTTGATGTGCAATCGTAGTTTTTGTTGATGTGCAATCGTATTTTTTGTTGATGTGCAATCGTATTTTTTGTTGATGTGCAATCGTAGTTTTTGTTGACGTGCAATCGTAGTTTTTGTTGATGTGCAATCGTATTTTTTGTTGATGTGCAATCGTAGTTTTTGTTGATGTGCAATCGTATTTTTTGTTGATGTGCAATCGTATTTTTTGTTGATGTGCAATCATAGTTTTTGTTGATGTGCACTCGTAGTTTTTGTTGATGTGCAATCGTAGTTTTTGTTGATGTGCACTCGTAGTTTTTGTTGATGTGCAATCGTAGTTTGTTTCATGTGAAATCCATCAGAGAACATGCTCTACTTTTTTTTTTAATGAACTTCCGCAGCGGAATACTGATGATAAATCTTTTTCGGAATCTCTGATTGGTTCTTTTTATTTTTTTAAATTTAATATTGAATCTGATTTCCGCTTATGGTTGCCATGACAACGTTCAAAAAGAGCACCTGGCACTAAAGTAAAGCAACAAATAGCATGTTTTGGTCTGGTTTAGTTCAGCTCTGCCTAGCCAACGTCTGATGACAACCCTCGCAGCGAAAGGGACATAACTCGCTAAACACTTACTACACATATGGTTGTATCACGTCTTGCAGTTCTAAGCCTGTGTTTACTTTATCTTGCAGTTATGCGTCAATACTTACTCTGTCTCGCAGTCAGTGGCGTAGCTAGGGGAGGGGGGTCCAAATTCAAAATTCCCCCCCCCGGGCCCCTACTTGAGGGGGGCCTCAAAGGCGTGTCCGAAATTTTTTTGTAAATTTAAATAATGTCGAATGTCAACCCCCAAATCCCTAGCTACGCCACTGCTCGCAGTGCGCATAAAAATAGTTCAAACTAAACTATTATTTTGTTACTTACAAAATTACTTTTGAGGGGGGTTAAATCGTAAGCAAATTTGACCCTCTATGCAGATGATATGAAGTTGACATGAAGGTGACATGAAGGTGACATGAAGGTAACATGATTAACATAAACTAAAAAAAAAAGATTTGGATCTGTAAAAAACAGGAAGTGGATCTGTCTGAAGTCCGTCTAAATAGTGGAACCGTCCGAAGACCATCTCTGAATTCAATGTTTCTTATTCTATCTTTAAAGGAAATGAAGCTCTCTGATACATTTCTAAATTTACATTGTTTAGTTCATTCAAGGCAATAATAACATATTTATAGATAATAAAGGTATATGTCATATGACGCCCATTGAATACTTACATTTACCAATGACGTCACCATATGCCACCTTCACTTCATCGGGCGTTCGGTCAAAGGCAGGCCTGACGTAACTCAGCGCTCTTTCTTCATTCAGAATGGGGGTAACGAACCCCCCTGCCTCAATGATGGACACTCGGACCCCCCTGCTGTAGAGTTCACGTCTGAAGAAGATGTTTGGAGACATTTTTTTGTTATTTTTATCCACATAAGTCCTTATTAATAAGCAACAAAAAATACATCTATACTCACACAATCGAAATCAAAGACCAGTAACTTGTATTTTCAGAACTGTCTGGTGAGCTCCCGTTTGCTTTAAATTAATTTCGTACTAAGAAATCTTTATTTGTATTTTAAAAGGAAACATTTATTTTGTGTTTATTTGATTATTTTTATTTCATTTGGGGTGGGGAGTTGTGAATTTAGTTGATATGGAACCTCTATAGCAGTGGTTCTTAGCCTGTGTGTCGCCACCCCTTTTTGGGGGTCGAACGACCCTTACACAGGGGTCGCCTAAGAAAACACATATTTATGAAGTAGCAACGAAAATAATTTTAAGTTTGGGTGTCATCACAACATGAGGAGCTGTATTAAAGGGTCGCGGCGTTAGGAAGGTTGAGACCCGCTGCGTTAAGGCGAATCGGTAATCAGAGGTCAAATTGAAGTGAAGGGCAATGGGTGGGATAGGAGGGCAGAGTTGATTTACCTCAAGACATCAGAGTAAGCTTCGATTGCCCACTTCGTGGACGTGTAAGGAGCCATTATGAAAGCTATGCGACCCGTCACGCTTGCCATGTTGACAATCCGACCACGTGCCTTCCTGATGAGTGGCAGGAAGTGACGACACATTTCTGCCATGCCGAACACGTTGACGTTGTACACGGTCAAGAAGTCATCTCGTGTACACATCTCACTGACGCAAGGGTTGCCGGCCACGCCAGCATTGTTCACTAAGCCCCAAAGACCTGTCAGAAAGTCAGATGATACCAATCAAGAAAAGTCCTACTACGAGACTCCTGTCTCTTGAAACAAGTACATTCTAAACATAGCAACGTGATGAATAGACTAAGGGGTTCTGAAATATGTCATTTAATACTAGACTTTGGCCTCAAAATTAAGTTAAGGAAATGAGTACTTCTGAATATTATGTTGTAATTGTCCAGCACTGTAGTAAAGGAGCAACTCCTTAACTCTTACTTGGACACAGAAGTTGAGGAAATACCTGTTCTATTTAATAATCCCATTCTTTGAGGTTGTATCGCCATTTTTTTTACCTTTGTCTGAAGGAATCGTCCGCTTGACCAGTTGTAGGGCCGCCTCGATGCTCTCATTTTTACTGATATCAAGCTGTACGGTGACCAGACGTTTAGAGCAGTTCTTGGCCAAATATTCCCTTCCATCTTGTGTCAGACATCCAGCAAACACGTGGAAACCTAAGCTGTCCAGTCGTCTGCAAAAGTAAAAAAAAACAAAAAAAAAACACCAAGTTTTCGTAACTTTCAAATAATTAAAAAAAAAAAAAAATATTAAGAGAGATATTGAAAAAATAACGTTACATTTTACCTTAAATATGTTAACTAATTTAATGTCTCCCTGTTTAAATGTTATGTTTGTTTAGATATTATAGTCTTACATTTGACCGTAAATATGTTAACTAATTTAATGTCTCCCTGTTTAAATGTTATGTTTGTTTAGATATTATAGTCTTACATTTGACCGTAAATATGTTAACTAATTTAATGTCTCCCTGTTTAAATGTTATGTTTGTTTAGATATTATTGTCTTACATTTGACCGTAAATATGTTAACTAATTTAATGTCTCCCTGTTTAAATGTTATGTTTGTTTAGATATTATAGTCTTACATTTGACCGTAAATATGTTAACTAATTTAATGTCTCCCTGTTTAAATGTTATGTTTGTTTAGATATTATAGTCTTACATTTGACCGTAAATATGTTAACTAATTTAATGTCTCCCTGTTTAAATGTTATGTTTGTTTAGATATTATAGTCTTACATTTGACCGTAAATATGTTAACTAATTTAATGTCTCCCTGTTTAAATGTTATGTTTGTTTAGATATTATAGTCTTACATTTGACGGTAAATATGTTAACTAATTTAATGTCTCCCTGTTTAAATGTTATGTTTGTTTAGATATTATAGTCTTACATTTGACCGTAAATACGTTAACTAATTTAATGTCTCCCTGTTTAAATGTTATGTTTGTTTAGATATTATAGTCTTACATTTGACGGTAAATATGTTAACTAATTTAATGTCTCCCTGTTTAAATGCTATGTTTGTTTAGATATTATAGTCTTACATTTGACCGTAAATATGTTAACTAATTTAATGTCTCCCTGTTTAAATGTTATGTTTGTTTAGATATTATAGTCTTACATTTGACCGTAAATATGTTAACTAATTTAATGTCTCCCTGTTTAAATGTTATGTTTGTTTAGATATTATAGTCTTACATTTGACCGTAAATATGTTAACTAATTTAATGTCTCCCTGTTTAAATGTTATGTTTGTTTAGATATTATAGTCTTACATTTGACCGTAAATATGTTAACTAATTTAATGTCTCCCTGTTTAAATGTTATGTTTGTTTAGATATTATAGTCTTACATTTGACGGTAAATATGTTAACTAATTTAATGTCTCCCTGTTTAAATGTTATGTTTGTTTAGATATTATAGTCTTACATTTGACCGCAAATATCTTTACTAATTTAATGTCTCCCTGTTTAAATGTTTTGTTTGTTTAGAGAGTATGTTGTTATATTTGAATCGTTCAATTTGAAAGTCTCATCGGGATATTTCAGATGTCCCAGATGGTAGACGCCATAGTTCGTCTCTCACAGTGATTTGCAGCACTTGAAAACATGGCCTACTTACTATTTAGGTCATGTTCTGTTGACCCAATTCCTATGTCAATTTACCCAACGACTTAAACCAATATGAGATATGCGTCGAACGTTTTAGTCTGGGCAGCAAAGAGTCAACCTCTGACCTCTCACAAGTTGTGTTTAAGTATTAACATTTTAACACAAGATCCTGAGACAGAACACTGCCCCCCCCCCCTGCCCGGGCCGGGACAAAATCGTGCCCCTCCCCGGGGAATCATGTTAAAAAACAATAAATCGAAAATATATTTTATTAAAAAAACCCACTAAATTTTCATTTTTGTCACATTTCTAAATCTGAATGTATCTGATGCCTTTAACCGATTACACTTAGTGGAACGTATGAAATATCGCTACCCTCGATATCTCTGATGATCCGTATATTTAAGGCTTGCTCTATTCGATTATTAATATTGCACTTTTCCAAAAATTGGTCGCTCCTGATTATAAGCCGAAGTCTTACTTTCTGTTGTTGGCATATTTCGGTATTTTTAATCATTCACTTTTCGCAACTTCACAATTTTGAAGACTTTACTTACAGTGTATGAAACTGTCTTTACATAAATATAAAGGTCTATAGTTTTAAAACAATTCTTGCTAAGTATAAAAAAGCAGTCTGTTTTCAAATTATATTTCATAAGAAAAGCATGAGTTTTAAAGTAGGGATAGGTGTTAATTATACATTTTATGATGGCACCATGTTTTAAAAATATAGTTATTAGCATAACTTTAAATGTACTCTATTCCATGTATATTTAGTTAGATAAAATTATGTTTTTTCTAAAATGATAGTTTTCTTTACAAAAATTTAGAATTTAAAGGGCGCATACAAATAGAGCACGTTTCATCAATTAGTATTACATCGAAAGCGTTTGTGATTTCCTCTAATGTTCTGATTTTGTAACGACGCGCCCTGAATAAAAGAGTAAAAAAATATCCTTAGCCTATATTTATTAAATTTCCAAATGATTTTCTCTTTTTAAAATCAGAATCGTTAACAACCAGCCCCACTCCTTGCACGGATTTTTCAAAGAAGAGACTCCAGTAGGAAGCTGAACAGCTACAACGTTTTTTTTTTTGGTGCACTAGCATTCGATTAAACATCCAATTCCAATTTGCTTGGGTCAATAGTTTTAGAAACAATGCCTTTATCTAAATCGTCAATTTAAAACTTGATTCTACGGATTTGGTTACAATTTTTTTTTCTTTAAATATTATTAAGGTATATCGAAGAGGCCATTTTTCATTTTTATGGAAAAACAAAAAAAAACAAAGAAGAAAAGATATGGTAGTTTGAAATTCCAAATTAACCTTGCAATCAACTGAATATTTGGAAATATATTATTTATGTTTATACGATTTGCCTCAGATAAAATCACACATTAATAAATAGGTGAAGTCTTTTGTAAAAGTCTCACGTATTTAACATAATTATGCCGTTCATTTACGTTTGATATAAATGACAAGATTTAAAAACCCATTAAAATGTATAGACCTTTAGATCTATACAAAACAGTACTTTTATTGTCTGACCCTGAAACTCTTGGACTCTGATGAAAATTGGGAATTTTTAGAAAAATTGGTTATACGTATATATGTGTAAAATGATGTGAGCAGTGAGGAAAACTTTTTTGGATTTTTTTATTTTAAAAAAATTACTTTCTTTCTTAAATCGTTTTCCCTTCAAAAAGTTTAATTTTAATTAGAAATGAACAAACACATTACCATTTAGGGATATAAAAAAATGTATGTATTACACAACCAGGTCGAAATATGCTGTCATTTTACTTCCTTCCCCTATTAAAATAAACTTATAGCAACACTGAATTCAGGTATGCTCCAAAATGCACCTCTTGATTTTAAAATTAGCAAAAATTTGATGGGGAGTAGCTTCCCAGACAATCTCCTTCCACACAAGAGCCATCGGCGTCCTCCAAAGACTAATACAAACATTCCAACACAGTGATAAACTTAAATAAACATTCAAGCACAGTAACATACTCACATTGCCAACTCCTGACCAAGCCCCGTATCACAGCCAGTCACCAGCACGTATTTCTCCTGGTAGTTGCCCACCCTCAGAGATCTCAGCAGCCGCTCCAAGAACAAGAAGGTCAACAGTTCAAAGGTCAGAAAGGACAGAACCCAGAAGAGTTTTGAATCGGCATAAGGCTCCAAGTAAGGGATTTTCCCGATTTCTCCCATGACATTCGTTGCCTGGGTCATCAAACGAGATGTCTGAAAAATAAGAGGTTGATTTAAGAGTTTGGCGAGCCATGTCTACCATTAATCCATCATTACTATTTCACTCCACACACATATGGAGTGCTTTTAAAGAAGGGGTTGTGTAGATTAGGGCCAGAAATAAACAGAAACTAACCGATAAGAAATACATGGACAAAGGCATATCAAAAGTTCTAGGAGATTCTCTGAGGAGACTAAGCAAAAGTGAAACAAGCAGGGGATGACATGTCTCCCAGCACACACCCCGGTGACTGATGTGCTCATATAACATGACTGGCTTTTACAAAAACTTGTTTTTTAAATAAACATTTTAAAAATCTCTTTCAAATTAGGAACAAATTAAACAACGCCTAAAAACAAATTATTGTTCCCGTATAAATCTTCTATTAGCTTTTTCCCCCCATACATGTAATTGGTCGTGATTTATAATTTATGTAGTTGTAGCAACTTATTTTTTGTATGGGAATGTTTAAAAAAAAATCAAAATGAACTCATGTAAAACATAAGCGACTAAAGACATGTTTAAATCCAAATATGCCACAAATAGAAAGCACATAGCAACAGCTACACAAAGAATCTCCATACCAAAAGACGCACCCATTAAATTTGATTTAGCTTCCCCTTTTAAAAAAACAGGAAAAAATGATTTTTGGGGTTTGGGGCTGGCTGAAAACTTGATAGAACGTGTTGTCATCGCCAATGAATCTATTTACCAAGTTTTTAAGCTCGATAGGATGACAGGAAGTGGGTAGTTTAGCCTTACGAAGATGTTTCCTCAAATACAGAAACAAAAGTGAAGTTAATATCAAAGGATTTAAAAAAGAAAGATGAGTTTAAAATCCACCAATACGTGCTACCCAATTAGAACAGAGCTTGCGATAGTAATACACAGCGTCAAATGACAGCGGTTGAACTAAACAAACTTTGATGAACTATTCAAACTCACCACAGATCCCATGCCTGGAAATATGGAAATGTTTTTCTTTTCTTTGCGACACCTTAAAACCTTTCTTAAATCCTTTGATCGATCACTAAACGTATTGGTGCGCACGTCTTGGTACAAATTAGTGAACGCCTTGTTTGCACTTCTTATGTTCAGCTAACAAACTTTTGTTCAAAGTTTAAATGAATTATAAAAATAAGTTACTTTAATTCACCAAACTTTTAGATCTTTATTTTTTTTTGGAGCTTTTTTTTTTGTTGAGACTGTCAGGCAGACAAGAGTTCTTCCCCTTTATAGACCCCCGGGAAACGGCGACATCCCATTGGTCGGATATAGATTCAAAGGTTCTCAAAG